GTACAGGGTTTCCGAGGGTGTAAATCTTTACGAGAGTAGAAAGCCTGATCTTTCTCCCGCGGAGCTGCTGGTAGTTTCGAACCGCTGACCTTAAGGTTCGCAGCCCGATTCGTAACCACTACGCTACCAGAGCTCCATTCCAAGTAGCATTAGCATTTATAAATATTTCAGAAAAGTTTGGAAATACGCATTTGATGTTAACCGAAGTTAGGATATTGCTATGGCAATATATAAAGGAAACCTGGGGGTGGGGGTGGGGGGACAGTGCTTAAGCATTCAGCTGCTTAGAACCCCTACCGGCTGCTCAAACAGAGAAAGCTGTGGTGGGACACTTGAAGGAATGAAAGGCTTAAATCACTTGTAATCATAAAAGCAGTTGAGTTGGTTTTACAATGTACCTACAGAAACAGACAGGAGGCACATTGGAGCAAACACTGACTAACACATGGCCATGGTACAAAATAGTTTCAGAAAAAATTGAAGACGGATGACCACCCAAGCTTTATCTTGAATTTTCCAAGAAGTTGAAAAAACACCCAAAGCAAAACAACCAGTTCACTATTCAGTGTCACTATATGTATAAACATCGGTGAAAGTCAAAGACTGTCATATATTATTATACTTGTATTTTTTAATCCCACTTTTTTCTACATTTAGTTCCTGACATATTTCTTCTGAAATATTTCACATTCATCCTCATCGTTGAATTTTTTCTAGAGGTACTTTATTAAGACGAAGTGCACATTCTTTTCATTTTTATTCTTTTGAAATTTAGCAGTTTTTTTTACTGCATGTGTGATACAAAGCCACGGTTTGCATAATGAAATCATTTGAGCATTCTCCCCCCGCCCCCAGTCTTCCTGTTGGTATATATTTTATATCTACAGTGTAACTAATTACTGTTTATTACCTTTTTCCTTATATGAGTGACATTAAACATTTTCACATATATTTAAGAGCCCTTTGCATTTCCTTATCTCATAATTTTGTTCATAACCTTTGACAATTTGTATTTTGGGTCAATTCTTAACTTAGGAGGAAATTGACTCTTCGCAGTGAGGTTTATTTTGCTATACCTGTTTATCTTGTTTGCGAATAAAGTTCATCTATAATAATTTAATGTTTAATTCTCATTTTAGATTGTGCTTCATCAATTTTTACATAACTTTTCCTAATTAAAGTTATGGTGGAGACCAAGTTGCTTGTTACCAAAAATATATAAATAGATGGAATAAACATAGTTAACCTTGTTTTATCACTTAAACTTTTATGTATTTATAACCAATCAAAAATTTATAAGAAAAATACTTAAACAAAAAATTTTAACATAGTTATGGGGAGTGTGGGCAATGATGGGAATTTTGGAATTATCTTTTTTTTTTTTTTTCCCACACTGAACACCCAATTTTTAATTTGATTCATATGTAGTAACAATTAAATCTGATTTGTTATCTTCTTTCTACTTGTTCTTATAAATTTAGGGTGAGCATGGACAATCTTGTGCCAAAATGCTTGTGAATCGAGCACTAGGCCGCTGGAGGCAACGTATGCTCCGAGCAGATAATACTAGTGCCATAGTGATCTGCATCTCTCCAGGCGTAGACCTCCCAGGCAGTTTCACCAATGAAGATGAACTCTATCTGAACCTGACTGATAGTCCCTCCTATAATAGTCAAGAAACCTGTGTGATGACTCCTTCCCCTTGTTCTACATCACCAGTCAAGGTATATAGATCTGTATTTTAAGTTCCGTTGTAATAGACTGTCTTTGGTTAATGTTGTCTGAAAACAGTTCTCAGGTTCTTTATATATATATATAT